GTCTCGAGATCCTGTCTGTGTGTAAATTCATCTCGCTGTGCCAGGCCCTCCACTGCCCTCCTTTTTGTAGTCACTCACAAGAGGAGAAAGTAAGCACAAAGAATCAGGCTCTTGGGAGGTGTGGTGTGAGGGGCATCCCCATTATAAACCTTGTCTACTGCAGGCCAGGCCACTCTCAGAGACCTTGTCTTCACCAGCACCTTTCTTCAGAGCTCCCATACTTGTCCTTTCTCCCGGGGAGAAGCCTCCTGGTGGGAGGCAGAGGAGGGAAAGTGAGCACAGACAGGTTGCAGCAGCTGCAGGCTTTCCACTGCTGTGCCTGCAGACAGGAGTCCCATAATAATTGCTAGTGTACGCAGACACTGGGAGGAGGCTTGGGGCGGGAAGCTGGGTTGGATAAGGCCTGGCTCCAGTGTCAAAGGAAACCATCTCTGTGCCATTGAGACTGTGCTCTTTCTGAAGGTGATTACCTAACACAGGCTGTCAACATGGGGGGAGGATGAAGGGATGGGCTGGAGGGATCAAAGAGACCCTCTCTGTGAGAGACCAGGAGTTTCCTGCCTTCCTCTGTTTCCTCTCTGTACCTGCTCTGGCTCAGCCTCTGGGGCACAGGAAGCCAAGCCCATCCTAGGAACTGCGGGTTCCTCTCTGCTCCACCAGCTGATTCTCTGCAAATAGTCTTGAATGAACAGCTCTTGGGCTTTAAGGCTGAGGTAACCAAGAACAGAAACTGCCCCTCCCCTGGCACATCCCATATTCCTCAACCGTGTGGCACTTTAGGGAACAAATACCCTGTTATTGTGAATGAGGCATCACCTTTCAACATTGTGTCCAGCTTGCTCTGGGCTCCAACACCCACCAGGGTGGGAGCTGCTACACTGTGGCAAACCTAGCAAGGCCAAAGTCTCCTGGACTGAGAGGGGGTTATAGTCAATCCCTGGGCATTCACAGTGCTCTCCCACTGAGTCCTGTCCTTCCCCATGCCTACACCATGTGGGGCTTGTGCCATTTCCTCCTCCTCAATCCCTGCCTTACCTTCCCACAGTCTCAGAGTTGCTGCTGTCTGACATGGGTCCTGTGGGGCAGTGTCACCACCTCACCCCCTCTGGGACTAGTTCACACAGGTCTAGCCCGCATCCTCTAGTCTGGGAATCTCTGTCCTTCTGTGTTCCTCTACCCCTTCCCCATTACCGCACCATCCAGCTCTTCAGCTGCCTCACCTAGCTGTGCCCCTTTCTCCCGTGTGTCTAAATCCCTTCTCTGAGCCTTGCTCTCATTGCCTCCCCACAAGATGGAGAAGATAGTGTCTTCTCCTCCCCCATTGTGCTGTCTAGGTGGTCTAGGTCCATCTAACCAGTCTTTCCAACCTGTCCCTGAATCTGCCCAGCTTTTTTATCTGTCTATCTGTCTGGTTTCTCTTCTCTTTTGTCTGTCTGTCTCTGGCTCCCTCCTGCCCTTCTTCCTCTAGCCCAGCTCCTAACACTCCTCTTCTCTCTTTTTTTCTGTCCTACCTGTCCCCTCAGGCCTGTCAGGCTTACTCTCAGACTGGTGCCCTGACCTGCTTCCTCAGTGTTTTCATGCCCGCATTTATGACTGTCAGGGCACCCCATCTGGAGGGAGCAGAACTGGCATCTGGCAAGACCCAGGATGTCAGCAGCATGGTCAGCAGCCAGAGCAGCCCTGGAGGAGGCTGGGCCTGAGCTCTGGAGGCGAATTCAGGCTCTGAGAGATCTAAGTCCTAACGGTGCAGTGGGCTAGCGTGTCTCCAGACAAATCTGACTCCACCTGGAGCTGCCATCGCTGCTTCCCCCCTGTATGGTTCCAGATGGCCTGGATCCTGAGAGTTTGGGCAACAAGCTGAGACCATCTGCTGTGCAGAAGCCACACAGTGGGAGTAGGCCCCAGCTCTGCCAACACAGGAGCTGTGTGCCCCGGAAATGCCCATGAATCCCCACCACATGCACTCCTAATCTGCTGAAGCTGACAGCAGGGGAGCGTGCAGCTTTTGAGGACTGGTGTTTATGTTTTTCCGCAGACATGTTACTGCCTGAGGGAGACATTTATGAAGCTGAGAGGTGAGAGCTGGTTTCCTGCCAGTTTCTCAAGTCCTGGGAGGAGGTGATACCATAAGGAGGCCAGATCCCAGGACATTTCAGCCCCATAACCCCTTCACCCCAGAGCAGAAGGCTCATCCAGAGCAAGCACACTGCAACTGCTGACCTGCTGAATTCATTCAAAACCTCACAGATTTGGAAGCCAGTAGGGAACATTATGATTCTCTACTCTTACATGGCTCCAGCGAACACACACACTGGGAAGCCAGCCTAAAATGAAGCTTTAGCACTGCCCTCCTGGAGAAGAGCAGTGTGATCTTCAGGTCACAAATTCAGGACAGCATGTTCAGCCAAAAGGAGAATGAGCACTCAGACTGAGCACTTAGTAGATGTGTCCTTCAAACCCAGCACCCCAATCTCAAACCTAGCATCCATTCCCACCACCTGTAGTTCACCAGTCTGAAACCAAACACTGGTTCTTTTCACCATCCCACAATCCTTTGCATCCACCAAAAGCAGGCATATTTGAGACAGCATTCATTTAGCTAGCATACGTAGCAGTAATGAAGACACAGCTGCTTGGTTTTCAGCAACCATAAAATATGCCCCAAGTTCCCAGAGAGCTGGTACAGGTAGTTCTCAAGTGCTGTGTCTTGGTTGACAAGTACACAAGGCCAGATTCAGGCTTCCTATAGGGACCAGGGCAACCTTTCACCAGGACTGAATTAAGCCTGACATATTTGTCAGCTCCCAGGCACAGTGCCTCAGAGCTAATGCTATTCTGGGGTAGCTTGAATGCATTCAAAACACTCCTATGGCCCAGGAAAAGGATCTGGCCAGTGCCCTATGGACAGCGTGTTTGTCATTGCAGCCCTCTCCTCAGCTCCACAGTGAAGCATCTGTGCTCCAAGAGCCCCAGCACAATGGCTTCACTGTGTGCGAAGGAAAGCTAACAATCCAAGAGGAAACACATACCACTGACACTGGCTGCCAGCACAACCAAGCAATCCAGCCTTTCAGCCCTGCTGGGATGGGATTTCTGTTATATGGTGGAGAGGCTGCCCATTCAGGCCTAACTCCAGTGGGTCAGGGCTCAGACTGCTTCCCGCCAGCTGGGCCAAAGTGGACAGGCCCCAGTGTCTGCACTTCAGCTATGGTCCCCACCATAGCTGGAAACCACACCTCAGTGCCACTTCCTCAGACATGCTTGGGAGACCAGGTCCTGAGCATTGTCCCTAAAAAAGTGTCTAAACCTGGCTGCTTACAAAACAAGTTGTTCTAACTGTCCCAACAATCTCAGTCCTCAGTCTGCTGTGCACATGGCCTCTGTTCTGTCCTGATCTCTTCAAACAACCCCCAGTCCCAGCTGGTCAGAGCATGGTCATGCATTAAATCCCAAATGTATTCTCTCTGCTAAACCAGACTTTGCCAGCCACACCAAAGGTAGGGGACAGAGCCAGGCCATGTCAAAGCTTACCAAATCCAATCCAATATGGAGAAGCAAGGAGGTGAGCCTGTGGCCACCTAGTTTTCTCATGGGGGGAAATAAATAAATGGCAGGGCTAATCTGTACATGCAAATGAGAAACCCTAATGCACTCTGTCACGGTGCATCTGGGAGGTTTCCACGACTTGGAAAGAAAAACCAAGAAAAAATACTCTTCCTTTATGGGCTGCTTCTTCAGCATTTCTATTGCAAAATGGCACATAAAAGGACAGTGTCGCAGGGAAGAAGATGCTACCGCAAATGAATTGTGATGATGCCTAGGAGATGAAAGCACAGAAACATGAGAGTTTATTGGCAGCATCATCTCATCACAGGCTTCCTTTTTCCCAAAACCAAATCAACCCCACCAAGAAGGTGCCAGCGAACCCTTGTATACGAGGTACCTTGGAAAAGACACCCCAGGGGATGTCACACTGTTAACCCCATCTGCCACACTGTTAAAACACCCCACCAGTAGTCTGGATATTTCTGCAGTCTCTTGCTAGTAACACACCCTAACCTGGGGTCCTGCTGAGTGCAGCTGAAGCCAGCTGTCTTAGCCAGTGCTCAACATCACCCTCCACAACATCTGACCTCCTTTCTCAGTTGTGGCCCTGATTGCTGGCTTTTCTATTTCCTGTGTCCCAATCTCCTGTAATTACACTGCACATCTGCCCACAGTTTCCTCTAATGCCCACAGACCTTTTCAGGAGATTCTCTGCCTTGGTAGTAGGCAAAGAGTAGAGGGAGGGGAACTGTGGGGTGGTAGGACGGACACCCACACCCACACACACCCACCCACCCACCCACACCCTTCTGCAGCTTAGAGCTGCCAATTCCTCTCCTCCCCCAGGCTGCAGAGAGGATGAGCCTTCTGCTGTTCAGCCTAGCATGAAGGTAACTTACAGGTGCTCTGAAGTGTATGCAGGACTTGGGGGTGGGGAAGGAGTCAAAGCAGGCTGAGACCAGCTTCTAGGCCACTGCTGGGAGAGGGTCGGTACCCCGCTGATATGACCCTACCTTGAGAGAACCTAAGACAGACTCAGCTTCTTTGCTTCTTAAGTTCTCTTAAGGGCTAGGATGAAAAGAATGGGGGGTCCTGGTGATCCTACACAGCTCAGCAGCAGAAGGCACTGCCCTTCCACCCTTCAATCCCCTCATCGGCAGCACTTTGATTAACTGCCAAGCAACATGACCACCACCACTGCCCAGGCCCAGCCCCTTTCCACCTGAAGATGCCAAACACCTTACAAACAGTAACGAAATTACCTCTCAGGACTCCTGACCTGTAAGCAAACTCCTAAGTACAGGACACAGCCTACATAGACCGTATTTCGCCTCATATGGAAAGCCTTGGGAAAACAAGTATTTGACTGGTTGGTCCAGCTGGCCCCAAGTTCTGGCCCATGATCTCTTCAGGCCTGTACCCAGACACATGGGCTTGTGGAGCAACAGTCCTACCTCGTGTGTTGGTGGCCATGTCAGCCACTTTCTGGAAGGCATCCAGGAAAGCAACAGCTGCCAGCACTGTAGTCCTAAGACAGAAACAGATGGAAATGTAAGTGAAGTGGGAGTGTGAGGGAGAGGGCCAACGCTGCTTCCCCTGATCAGTTACAGAAACATAGCACAGTCTATTGCAGTCGGTCTGACCCAGCTACAGCTAGCCCAGCATTCCCTAGCCAGCAGTGTTTCAGAGGAAGATTGGAAGATTAAACAAACAAATTAGCCCAAAGAAGGAAATTCCTTCTCAATCCCTGCATAGTTCACCCTCTGTTCCAAAACAGGGTCTTAGGTCTCCCCTACTCTAGCCAGGGCAGGCAGCTCCACTTTTGACACAGTGATTTGCAGCAGCAGGGAGTTTCACAGGGTTCCTGTTAGGGGTGGAGAGGGTGGGGAGAAGGGGGTTAAGTGAAAAATTTGCATTTGACACAGAAATACCAGTTCCATCCATGGTTTCCAAGAGTGAAGTTCTACCCCACCTCTCCTGGGCCCAAAGGACGAAGCAGCAGGCAATTAAAGAGGTCTTTGGAAGTGGAATTATAAATAGGAATGTGTCTAAGCACCAGTTGCCAGATAGAGGCAGGGTCACAGTTTGGCAAATTAAGGGTTAAAACTATGGGGATTTACATGAGAGGTGGGACTGTGGGGTCTCTAGAGGCACCCCAGCAAACACACTGTGCGGAGGATTCTCAGACAGCCAGGCCTAGGGCACAGCTCAAGGAGAAGAGTGGAGTTCAGATGAGGAGTAACGGCTACTTTCTGACTTCACCATGATCTCCTTAGGCAGTGGCCCTGGCTGGGAGACCTCTTTCAGGTGCAAGTCAAGACAGTTACTCCTTTGAAAGCAATGGTGTCACCCTAAGAGACTCACATTGTGCCCAGCCCTGCTTCACATCAGCATAACCATCTGCCTAAAACACACACTGGCTGACCAGGAAGAGAGGGGCCCAAGACAGCTCCTCAAAACACCCACCAGTTTGGAGGCTGTGCATCCCGCAAGAAAGACTGCAGATGACACCTTGCTTTGAGTGAAGCCTGGCTCAACTGGTGACATGACAGCCCCACACCCTGCCAGGACTGGGGAGAGTCTTGCTAGCTTAGAGCCTTCTCCTGCTGCTTCACTTTCACACTACAGAGATTAAACCCCATGATTACCAGTAGCCTGCCTTGGAGTCTTCATCAGCTTCAACAATCCCATTCTCCAGCCCTGCCCTCTACCCTCCCAACCCCATAGCAAAGCTCCTCCCAGACACTGTTGCACAGCTGAGACTGAATGGCTGGGAGGCAACTGACCATGGACCCATTGGGTAGCAAAGATGTACAACACCCAGCTCTACTGGGCAGAAACAGGGGTGTAATGTCCTTTGCTAAAGTACATGCCCAAGATCTTGAACATGGTATGAGATGTGCTGGTGCTAGGCTTGGGCAGATGACTCTCCTGTTGGACAACTAGTGGTAACAAGGCAGGAGCAGGCAGAGGGGGCAGGCTGTAAGCCCTGGCTTTGGGGCACTGTTCTTTGCCTTGACACCTGTGTGCAAAGACCTGCGCCTACCAGTAAGGCTACACTATATGGCTGGGGTTTCACAGATACCAAGAGGCAGTTGGCTGGGCATCTTCAAGAGCATCCATGTTCATAGTAAGACATGTTGTGGACTCTTCTATGCATGACTGAGAATTGGAAGGCGGCTTTCAAGCTGAGGCCAGCTGCAGTGGCACTGACCTGTGCCAGATTAGACTGTTACCTGGCAAGGACGAATTTCAGGGGACTGCCATGTGTTTTAGATGGTGGTATACAGAAGGCAGATTTGGACTTACAGGATGCTTAACACATTTCTGGCCAGGTTTAACATGATACTGGAGAAGTTCTGGCTCTCTCACCACCCAAGTTCAGACCTCCATGTGTTTGTAACAAAGATGTCCAGACTGTGACCCCTGTGCTAAATCCATTCCCTAGGAAACTGGAAGGCAGTGAGCTATTTTCTATTAGACATCAAAAGCAGAGTGATACCATGGCAAAAGGACCTCAGTTTAGTAAGCCAAGGCCTTCCCCATGGCACTTTTCACCTGTAGCTCTTGAAGTGTTTTACAGAGGTGGGAGAGCAGTAATACTTTTAATTTCACAGATAAGGAAACTGAGGCATTGTGTAGTCTGTAGTCTCATTTTCAGATGGGCTGAGCACCCGTAGAACTATTGACTGGTAGGACTTAAGTGAGCTCAGCCTTCTGAAAATCAGTCCTTCAGTGACTTACTCAAAGGCAAGGACTGAAGCCCAGGCTGTCTGTGTCCAGTATCCTTTCAGTGGGCCACAAGGCCTTCCATATTTACAGACTGGGTGAGCTGTATGAGTATGCCAGGGACTAGGGGGAACAAGCTACGGCTGGACCCAGGACAGAAATGCAGCAGCGCCTGAGAATGGCGGAACTAGCAAAGCCACTGGTTCAAACTAAACCCCTTCACTCAGTGTGAAATGCAAGCACCCATTTCCCTGGAGTGCACACTCCTGGGCAGTGTGCATGCCATGCCTGTCACTAGCATCAGGTCCTGGGAAGAGCAAAGCATATCCAGGAACCTATGCAAGGTAGGCAGGGCTGACACCATCCTATTTATTATCTAGTGAGGACACTCCTCCCCAGATTCACCACTGACTGACTGCCTCACCACAGTACAGTCTGTTTTGGGGAAGAAAGGGCGTGGGAGAGCTAGGCCTGGTCTGGAGGCTCAGCCTTCCTCTCACTAGGGATGGCTGCCCTCACTCCCTAGCAGGAAGGCAGAAGTTATGGAGGCCTCACTTCATTCAACCAGCATGAACGAGCCATGCTCTGGAAACAAATACCAAAGGCAAAGCATGATTCTCCTGTCACTGGCAGCAGAAAGACTATGCGATAGCCCAGGCTGCTTAAGAAGACCACAAGGGAGCACAAAGAGGGGCACTGGCAGCACAGGGGAAGCAAAGTGTCAACTGGCAAGGGGAGAGAGGCACAACAAGCATTTCTTTAACAGACTGGAGGGCTGAGAAACCAGGGAGAACCTGTGAGGTATTAACAGGGCAGCTGAGTGAGGAACAGCTCCAGCCGAAGGGCAATGAGCTAAATGGCCCCTTTATGTGGGGGGGTTGATAAGGAACAATGTGTTCCCAGAGGAGGAGGAGGAGGAGGAGCAGGAGCTTGTAGCACTGGTGAGGAGAGACTAGAGGAAAGTCCTGAAACCTGGACCTGAGGTCAGCAGGTAGCTTGAGAGCCTTTGGTAAAGGTAAAGGGCTGGAGAGCCCTGAATAACAGGCAAGAAAAGGGCCCCAACTACTGGCCAATGAACCTGGCAGCAGGAGTCTAGGCTAAGAGGTACCTTCTGGGCAACAAAGAAAGGCACAGAGGGAAGAAGAGGGTAGGGAGATGGTGCTCTAAGCACCCTCAAAGCTCGGGGCTTGTTACAAGGTAAGACACGCCCTGGGGAAACTGAGGCAGCTCACAGAGCCACTCTAAGTTCTAGCACCAGTTCCTGCTGGCAGCTCCATCTTCCAGAGGGAGCTGGAGTCTCTGCAGCAGCGTATGCCCTTGCCCCACCCTATCTCTCCTTAGCGTATGCCCAGTATGAGGTCTTGCACGAGATCCTGTCTAAGGCCACCGGGAGCAGCACTAGACAGTACCTGGACTCAGCTCAGGAAATCTCCTCACTGTACACCCCCAGAGTACCACAGAGTGGGGAACTCTCTCCCCTGGGTTTCTAAGCCTGCCTGGCACTGACTGACCAGATGGCCTCAGTCAAATTACTTAATTTTGGCCAACAGAGTTTTGTTGTGAGATTAACACCCCAGGTCTTTAGCACTTGTCACTGGCCTGACTACAAAGCAGACTTTTTAATAAAGCCATTCCGCATGGTCTCCCCAGTGCACTTTACAGCAGGACAGCTAGGTCGGTCACAGCTGCATTCAGGGAGTGCTGTGAGGAAGCCTGAGCCACTCACCTCAGCTGGGAGTGTAGCTTGGTCGCCTTCGAGTTGAAATCTTCCCAGATCGGGTAGGAGCTCTGAAACAAGAGGGAACAAGGAACAAGATAAATCACCAGAGAAGAGCTGTCACAAGTGCAGACTCTTTATACCAGTCCCACCCCTTCATCCTCAGGTGCCTTACAGAACGAACCAACTTGGCCATGAACAGACTTGAGCACACCAGCATGTGATCCCAGACCAGTACCTTCGATTAGTTCACTCAATCCCTGATGGAAGTGGGTCAGATCCCATTAGCTGAACATCCCCAGTGGTCTCTGTGAAGACCCAAATGGCATCGGCAGGGGATTATTTTAGCCCACTAAAATGCAGAACATCTCAGTACCACTGTCAGGAAGGAAGCAGGAGGAGGGCGAGTTAAAGGAGAAGGAAGAAGGCTGAGGTGAAGTTGAGGGAACATTTTGAGTTACAACGTTTTGCACTTACAACATTTATAAATTGACACCCTGTTTCAACTTTATGACATCAGTTTCGACTTTACAACTCTTGATTGGATGCAATGCCACACCAGTGAACAAGTTGGCTGTGTTGCTCATCTCCCTGGAGAACATCTGTCCAAACTTCCTTGGACACTTTCTTTAGGAAAGCAGACAAGACGCCAGAAAAACCTGCAGCCAAGACTCCTGAGAAGACTCCAGCCAAGAACCCTTCAAAAAGTCCAACCAAGATCCTTTCAAAAGACCAAGCAAAGTCACCTCAAAGAAGTCCTTCCAAATCAATATGATTGCTATTTACAATATAAATACATTAATGTAGCTATATTACTCATCTATAATTGATCGAGTACAAAATTCTGGGGTATTTTTCGTGAAAATAGAGTATGGGGCCTTGGTTCAGGAAACAATCCCCCATTTATAACATTGTTTCTTGCCCACCATGACTGACCAAGAGTCCTTTTCAGTCCAGGAGACTAACTCCTCTGGCCCAGGTTGCATGGGAACTTGTTACTGAGGCAGCTGTTGTGTGGCCATGCCTTCTTCAGTGCCAGTCAGAACTGGGATTATAACCCTGTGGGGTCCCCTCAAGTGTGATACACCTGGATACAAGCATCTCCTGCACAGCTCCAGGCAGGCTAGTCCCTGGTGGTAGACTTGAGCATCTATACATGGCTTTTATTCCAGATCAACTCTTCCTCTGGCACCCCGAAACCTAGTGAGACTCAATGCAGCTGTAGGACGCAGGGCACATAAGAAATCTGAAACAAAGTGCTCTCCTGGACAAGGAACACCACCAAGAACATGGAGTCTCTGCCAGACTCATCCAGCACATATCTCCTGGAGACAGAAGTGTGGGGCTGGAGGCATGGCTAAGCCTCAAGCAGCTTAGCCCTTACTTAATTGCTCAGGGGGTCTTGTAACAGGAGACAGTCTCTCTGAGCAAGGCCTATGTCTGAAGAGACCAAGAACCTCTGCTCTCTCTGTACTGGCTGATGTGAAATGGGTTGAGGCACTTGGCTCATATTCCCTGATCATAAAGAGCAATCAATACGGTTGCCACTAGCTAGCACCTGTGTGGGCTGGGGGAGCGAGGGGGGAAGGGACAGGGGACTCAACTCAGTTCTCTGCCCTCTCTGAAGACGGTTCTTCTCAGCCAAGTCTGAGGCACAACTCAGTGTGGGGAAACTTGCCTTGCTGCACATTCTTTGTGAACCAAGGGCTCCAGGCTACAAAATAATGCAGCACTTTCTGACGGCACTAGATTCCCTGGGCCAGGTCCCACTGGTATAGATCAGCATAGCACCAGAGACGGTGCTGAAGTCCAGGGAGCTGTGTTGGACTGCAGCAGTTGAGGGTCCAGAGAAGGGCCACTCGTATGGTTAGGGGCTTGCAGACCAAGCCCTACGAGGAGAGACTAGAGAACCTGGACCTTTTCAGTCTCCGCAAGAGAAGGTGGAGAGGCGACCTTGTGGCTGCCTATAAGTTCATCACGGGGGCCCAGAAGGGAATTGGTGAGGTTTTATTCACCAAGGCGCCCTCGGGGGTTACAAGAAATAATGGCCACAAGCTAGCAGAGAGCAGATTTAGATTGGACATTAGGAAGAACTTCTTCACAGTTCGAGTGGCCAAGGTCTGGAACGGGCTCCCAAGGGAGGTGGTGCTCTCCCCTACCCTGGGGGTCTTCAAGAGGAAGTTGGATATGCATCTAGCTGGGGTCATCTAGACCCAGCACTCTTCCCTGCCTATGCAGGGGGTCGGACTCGATGATCTATTGAGGTCCCTTCTGACCCTAACATCTATGAATCTATGACCTTGCTGCTGCTGCTTACACATCTTATAAGAGAGGATCAGTTCCCCGAGTCAGTGACCAAAGCTCTTGAGGACACGAAACAACCAGAGACCACAACCTGCCACGGTCTTATGAGTGACAGTGGAAATGATCCAGACACCCCTTGGACAGGCACAACCAAAGGAGGAGGGCTGGGATGATGGGAGGCTGTGCACAATACAAATAACATCCCCTTCAGTTCAGACAGTCTTTGGCCAAGCCAGTCACAGTAACAGGGAGTAAATGTGGGTTTAGGTGAGATGAGGGTACACTGCAGTCTGCAATAAGTGGTGTCCCTGATATTCAGACAGGGCTCAGAGGAACAGCAGCTGCTTGTAGGCAGAGCCCCTCCATCTCTTGACAATGCTGTGTCATTTGAAGAGGACTGCAGATTGCTTAGCTGATGCAGTCACGGAGCAAGTCAGCATCCATAAGATGAATGCACATGCATAAAAGTAAGTTATTTAGCATATCTTGTCCCATAGCTCCCCTGAGTGACAGGCATTAAGAGCACATTACAGAGGGATGTAGGATGTAGCTGTGTTGATCTAAGGACATTGGCAGACAAGGTTCTTTGGGTGAACCTGATATTTTTTATTAGACCAACTTAAATAGTTGGAAAAAAAATTTAAGCAAGCTTTCAGGTTCAAAAACCCTTCGTCAGGCTAAGGAAGTTTCTGCAGTTGGTGTGTGCTCTTCCTGGATGCAATGAAAATGGAACTGGGAGATGGAACTGGGACTAGCTACCCAGATCAAGGACAACAAGAAGTCCTTTTTTAAATACATAGGGGGCAAAAAGAAGGTACCGGGCAAGACACACTAGGAAATCTGGTTGTCGCACCTTGACGACAAGGTTAACCGATTTAATGATTTCTTTGCCTCCATTTTCCTGAGCAGGGACCAGATCAGCCCATCCGCCGGGACCCCGTCAGGCCCCGGGGGAGGCGCACCCAGGCCTAGGGTCAGTGAGGATCTAGTCAGGGAACTTCTGGAGGGACTGGACGTATTTAAATCAGCTGGTCCTGACGACCTCCACCCCAGAGTGCTGAGGGAATTAGCAGAGGTCATCGCGGGACCCCTGGCACGGCTTTATGAGCACTCGTGGTGCTCTGGTGTGGTGCCAAGGACTGGAAAAGGGCCAATGTGGTTCCCATTTTCAAAAAAGGGAGGAAGGAGGACCCAGGAAACTATAGGCCAGTTAGTCTTACCTCGAGCCTGGGTAAGCTTTTTGAGAGAATTATCCTGGCACATGTCCATGAGTGGCCAGCAGGGGAGGTTATGCTTAGGGGCAACCAACATGGGTTCATTAGAGGCAGGTCCTGTCAGACCAACCTGCTGGCCTTCTATGACCAGGTCACAAAATCCTTAGATGCAGGGGTAGCAGTGGATGTAGTCTTTCTGGACTTCAGGAAGGCCTTCGACACTCTCACCCCATTCTCAATTTAAAAAACTAGGGGACTGTGGCGTTGACACCTACACAGTCAAATGGGTTGCTAACTGGCTGGAGGGTCGCACTCAGAGAGTGGTGGTGGACGGGTCATTTTCGACCTGGAGGGATGTGGGCAGTGGGGTCCCCCCAGGGCTCGGTCCTCGGACCCACGCTGTTCAACATCTTCATCAGTGACTTGGACAAGGGGGTAAAGAGCACCCTATTCAAATTTGCTGACGTCAAATGTGGGGGGATGTGAGCACACTAGAAGGGAGAAATACACTGCAATTGGACCTGGACAGGTTACAGGCGTGGGCAGATGAGAAAAGGATGGGTTTCAACACTGACAAGTGCAAGGTGCTGCACCTGGGGAGGAAGAACCAGCAGCATACCTACAGGCTGGGGAACTCCCTTCTCGTCAGTGCAGAGGCAGAAAAGGATCTTGGAGTTATTATTGATGCCAAAATGAACATAGGCCGACAGTTTGGGGAAGCGGTCAGGAAGGCCAACCGTACCTTGTCATGCATCCACAGATGCATCTCAAGCAGGTCCAAGGAGGTGATCTTCCCCCTCTATGAGTCACTGGTCAGGCTGCAGTTGGAGTACTGTGTCCAGTTCTGGGCGCCGCACTTCAGGAGGGATGTGGACAGCATTGAGAGGGTTCAGAGGAGGGCCACTCGCATGATCAGGGGGCAGCAGGGCAGGCCCTACGAGGAGAGGCTAAGGGACCTGAACCTGTTCAGCCTCCCCAAGAGCAGGCTGAGGGGGGATCTAGTGGCCTGCTACAAACTAGTCAGAGGGGGCCAGCAGGCATTGGGGGAGT